GTCAGAACCGCGCTGTCGCCCCGCCGGGCCGCCCTCTCCCAGCGTTGCGCCTCGTGTAGGAGGTACGTGACGCACAGTGGGGTTTTTTTCCACCAGAGACAGCGTGTGGGAAGTGCCCCGGTTACCCTCCGGCAGGCGAAGGCGGGGATGCTAAGCTGTCAGGTTTCTACTTGGCCGTACCGGTTGGGAATCGATGATTACGCCCCGTTCTTCCTTCCCATAAGGAGACTTGGAAAGCGTTCAAGGTGCCGCCTGTCCTCGGGTGCCCGCTGTGCCTGGGGTCCCCGTGAGGACTGCGCCGTGGCATGTGCCACGCTCCCTCCTTGCTGCCTTGTGGTTCTTGGAGCGGGGTGGCGATGCACCCACCGGGCCTCTGCGGGTCTGGCTCAGCCTTCAGCTGCGTCTGCCGACAAGCAGTGTGCTGCTGGCAGAGCCTAGAAACGCGCACCCGGAGGAGAGGCTCCTGGTGAAAGCTGGGGCAGCGGCCACCTTTCCCCAGGGTTTTGGGAGAGGGGATATGTCCAACACCCTTTCTGCAGTACCTGAGGCTGTGTTACTTACCTGGCATGCAGGAGATCTGCTTTTCCCTACTGTCCTTGGCTGGGATTGGGGTGAAGTGTGTTTGTTCCCTGTTGGTGCTGTTACAGGAGGGGTCTACGAGCCAGGCTGGGGCAAGACACTCCCGTTCCTCCTGTTGAAGCCAGGCCAGGATGCCAAACAGCAGGATTGAAGCTTTGTGGAGCTACAGGGAAGAGAAGCATATGTGCCTGCGAGCTGGCAGCTGGTGGAGTCGAGCTCATCATTAGAGCGCTCATGAGGAAATGGTTTTCCAGAGCTTGTGCCAAGTACTGATTCCATGTATTACTCGGGGCAGGATTTGAGGCTCCCTCCAGTTTCTGGTGTTGCCAGCTGACTCGGCAGCACCTCCCTTGCTGTGATGAGCTCTCTGAATCCCTGTATGAGGGTCCTGACTCCCCTGTGTCTAGCCTAGGTGCCAAAATCAGGACTCCATCTCCAAGTAGCAGCAACCACCACTTTGAATGTGGGTGGCCCAGGGCTGCAGTCCCATTGCTGGCCCAAACAAGGCTATAGGTGTAGTATGATACTCTGTAGCATAGGGTTTGTCACGTGGGGATGGCATCTGCCAAGTTTCTTCTAGAACTGGGGTTGCAGGGAGGGCATCTCCGGCCACTGCTGGCTGTGGAGGCTGATGCAGCCTCAGACAGACCAGGCTGCACGTGTGGTGGAGCCGTTGTTGTGGACAAGGTGGAGGCTCTCAGCTAAGAGCAGTGCTGGGAGGTAGGAGGTGAAGGGGAAACCAGAATGCTGTTCACCTTGCCCAGAAGGAAAGGGCCTTGGCTGTGACACCCCTCTGCAGCCCTCTGGTCTGCCTGCACACTGCAGCCTTTGTCTTCGAAGCAAAGTCCTTAAAATAAAGTCTGTGACTGCTTGTTACCCGAGATCCTGGAAGTTCATCTCTTCTGTGCTATTGCTGGATGACACAAGAAACCTTGAACTTTTCACCATGTTCTTCTGAACATTAATGAGAAGTTTAAATTATTCCCCTCTGGGCACCACCCTTGCCCAGAGGAAGGCTTATTTTTTTTTTTTTTAAGCACCTTGAATGGTAATTGCTGAGCTGGTGTTCCCTCTTGCAACATCGCACCAAGAGAATTGCTTCCATGTTCACCACCCGCTGCTAAAGTGCAAGCTCAGGAGTCCCCTTGTTTCTCTGCGTACACCAGCACCACGGCGTCACAGTGCTGGCAGCAGATGTTATCCCTGCAAGTTACAGGTCACTTAACTTGGACCATAAGAATCTCGGAACGGTGACCTTGTACTCGCCTCACTGCAGCGGGCGTGTTAAGCATTGCAAATATAACAAATGGATTTTGGGTGTGGAGTTTCAATGTTCAGGCCTAACTGCTGTTCTGCAGAACGATCAAGTCCGTGCTGTGACAGTTTCAGCACTTTGGGGACAAAGAACTTGTACAGTTCATCAGTCATCTTAAGCTGGAGTCTTCCCGCAGGAGTTCCCCCTTCAGCCAAGGACTCCCAAGCCACCTACAACAGGCCTGAAAGCGTTTGATTTACAGCCAGGGTCTTCATTCTCTCAGCCTTCCCTGGGCTCTCAACAGAAGAGAGAAGCTCTTCTTCCTTCCTGAGACACTACTGACTTTAAAAGCTGTCAGATTCATGCTGTAGCATGCCCTGTGCAGGTTGGGCTATGCCTTACTCCCCATAAAGAGCTGGATAACCTGTGACCTCAGGGATGAGGACATTTAGACAATACTTGGGCTTCATTTGCAGCTCAGCAGGTGCATGACCGGACTTAAGACTTCATCCTGCTGTAACAGGTGTAAGCTGCTCCGAGCTTTGGTGTAGGCTTTTGGCTCCAGAGGCACTACACCTAACTTGTCCCTGGTGCTAGCTTGTCCCTTTCAACCTTCTCCCTCTGATGCAGGTTAAGCCATGAGCAGCCTAGGCTCTTGCTAATGGCTTCTTGGAGCTTGTTATTCCTTTGGAGAGCCCTGCAGGAGCCATGTTCATCCATGGCATGGCAGGGGCTGTGCAGAAGGTGCTGCCTTTGCATGGGCTTCCTGCTGCCTGGCTAGTGCTGCATTGGGAGGGAAGGGCAGGGTAGGGGTGTGTGTTTTGGGGCAGAGCTGTGTGGGCTGTAGGGCTCATGGCTGTACTCGGCTGCTGACAGCATCTCTGAGGTAGCAGAAAGCACCGTGTACTCCTCTCCAGTTGCAGCACTTAACTATGGGTTGTATCTACCCCAAAAATAGACAAGGAGCTCCCTGTGGAGCTTTTAATGAAAGCTTTATTGATTTCTTTGGGTTTCTGCATGGCTGCCTGGCAGCTCTGCTAGCGTGCAAGCTGGACCCTTCTGTAACCAGTACAGAGCGTGCTTCCATCCCCTCACAGCTGTGTCAGGGTCCTGCTTAGGGATTTCGTGTTTGGGCCTGCTTCCCTTGCTATTAAATGGCATTTTTTCTACTTGACCAGTACTTGGCTTCTTGACAAGAATCGCAA